TCTGTCTGACAGATATATCTTAACTTCCTAACCGTAAAATTTTAACATTCAGAACATTATTTCGACAAGGATTAAGGTTGGGTTTTGGTGTAGGCTGTAGGGTATCGTTCGCCATAATTAAAATGTAAGTAGATTAGTACCTCGTAACATCGATAAATTTGGAATTCTACTGAGTTTTTTGTACATATATTACGTACGTGTGAATATTTATATTTATATAAAAATGGGGTAGAACTAATATAAAAATTAGGAACAAAAACTAGAAATAAAGGGCATAAAAAAGGTTTCGTTGCCTTTGATAGAAATAAATTACTTTTGTGCTCGCGAACTGTTAATTTAGAAATTTAAAAAAATATTGTTAAAAGTATACGTTTGGAGCACGACTACGTACGGGTTCGAAACAAACGCGTCGGAAATGAAAACATTAGAAGCATTTCATATGTGTGCATGTTGCAATTAGTGGATCGAAAAGGTTAGAAATGAGGATAACAGAGGGCGCTATGGAAGTGAATAAGGAAAAAGAAGAAAGGTAACATGGTAAAAGGTAGAGCACCTTCGAAGACATGAAGGAGTAGGTAGAAACGTTTTAGAAGCAGAAATAGGAGTAAAGAGGAGCAGAGGTAGATTACTGTTTGCAAAAAGGGAGGTGGGAGTCATACTGTTAGGGAAAGAGACATATTGGACTAACCACACAATGATGAAGATAATAATAATAGATATTTCAAAAAATTAATATTTCCTTCTTTATTGTGATAAGAAAGCGTACAATTTCATTTTACTATTCATTTTTTATCTGTTTTTTATACTTCAAGTAAATACATTTTTATATTTGCGGTTGTAATTAAAGAAATTGAGTAGATACTTATACTTATTTGTATTTTTATTGAAATACCTCAGTAATAGTCTTTATGTATATGTTTTTAAATATTAATTTAAAGTGATATTTGCTTCAAGAGTGTTATGTGTCATGGATGAAAAAACCAAAATTTTTATCAAGGTTCATTAAAAGGTCTACTTATTAATTTTAATCTTTTCTTTTAATTTGCGAAATTAATTACAAGCAAACTCCATTAATTGACTTGTTTGTCTACGAAGAGCACTCCTTTAATAAAAAAAAAATTATAAACAGAACTGCTTCATACCAACATTCGCCGTTTTTATTAGAGCACATTTTCTGTTTCTGTCGCAGTGAGCCTTGATGACACGCAATTCTGCCAGATCATTACGCCAATTGAAGCGAAATAAGCCAATTTGCAGCATGTATTAAAATAGACTGTTAAAAGTCCACACGACAACGTCGAATTAATATTTATTTCGTCTGCCTCCTTCAAATAAAATTATATTATTATAACACTCACAATACTATTCACTTGTTCTAGGAAGTAAAGCTATAGGTAATACCTAATATCTATTCGAGATTTATTATCGCGTGAAGAAAAATACTATCAAAGTACAACACAGTAATCGAATTAAAATGTATTTCAATTTTATTTTGTTTTTGGCACTAATTTTGGAATTTTACTTGCATTTAATAATAACATCACAACAAAAAGTTCATGGTGGTCAATAATTAGCATTCTGTCGCGGATCGCGATTTTGATCTCTTTAGATATCGATGTGATGGAATCTCATCCGTATCTAACAATTTCTACAGAATCCTAACCACAATGAACTGTTTGTCCTGTTCGATTATGTGCGTACCCCGTAGGGTTAACTGCGCCGTGGATTCAGTTCGACAAGTCGATATCCTTGAACAATATTGACTTTCTCTAAGGGTAACAACTTAGTACTACCAATTCATAACAATAAAATGATATAAGAGGCAGGGCCGTCTTTAACCTATTAGAGGACCTGGGCACATAAGCCTAACGGAGTCCCTACAGCTTTGAGAGAGAACTATTTTAGTTTATCAACAATTGTTTGTTTTTTTACATTCACAATAAATGAATAGATAATTGTAATATGGCACCCTTCTAGTTTTCAACTAGTTGTTCAAAAATACTATTAGTTTCTTCAGTTTCTTTCACGTATTTTGCCAAATACAGACATTTTATTTCTAACTCTTTCTCGTTAACATCTTCATAGCAGCAAATTCTTTGCAACTTTGTCTCGGGATTTGGAGTTTTCAAGCGAAAAACAATGTCAACAATAACCAACGTCCTTGTACAAACTCAATCACTGTTTTAGATGCACGCTTGGGGTATCACTTATGTGAAGTAAGGTATTTCTACTTTAATATCTCTTCCCAACTCAGTTGGACTATCGGGGCAGTCATCAAAAAATGTCTGGCGCGAACTTCTAAATCTTATTCTTTGAGACAAGTCCTTGTAGTCAGATATTGTATTTTTCTCTTTGGAGAGCGATTAGAAGTAATAAAATTTGAGAATATATAAATATTTGAAGAACCACCTACATTTAGGTATGCTCGCGTTTATAGCATGCAAAAGCGATTATGCAAGTGAATATTCTAATCAGTAATTATTGATTAATTATCGGCTTTCGGTTGGCGGATGGATCTGGCAGCAACTATATAGGGGGCCTCCGTTGATCGTGGGGCCCTGGTCACTTGCCCAGAGTGCCCAATGAAAAATAGGGGCCTGATAAGAGATAACCAGCTACTACAATAAATTTAAAGCCTGACAACTGGTGAAAGAAAAAATTTAGGGGTGGTGTGTATAGCATGCTAGTAACTGTGTATTAGCTTAAAAAGAGCAATTATTTATATGCAGTGTGATAAAAAGAAGTCACTTCTATGCTCGCGAACGGTTAATTTAGAAATTCGAAAATGCTGTTAAAGGTGTATGTTTAGAGCACGGCATTGTACGGGTGCAAAACATGGACAGTGGGCGCGGCGGAAAAGAAAAGGTTAGAAGCGTTCGAAATGTGGTGTTATAGGCGGATGATGAGGATATCGTGGGTAGAAAAGGTTAGAAATGAAGAGGTATTGGAAAGAATAGGAGAACAGAGGACTCTCTGGAAGTCAATAAAAAATAGGCGAAATAGGTTGGTAGGACACCTTCTCTGGTATGAAGGTCTAGTCAGAGACATATTAGAGGCAGAAACAGGAGTTAGGAGGGGTAGAGGTAGACCTAGATTAGATTACTGTTCGCAAATAGTTAAGGATGTGGGTTGTTATAGTTTTAGGGAAATGCGAAGTTTAGCTCAAGTTAGGAAAGAGTGGAGGTACTTGTCTTAGGACTGACGACCTTATGATGATGATGATGAGTGTGAGAAACCCCTGTTTCTTCCCTCGATACGTAATGTACTATTGCATTAACCTATAGTATTGCTGTAATACTAAAACAGTTATTGTCTATATTAATTCATATAATTATTAAGTAATTGATTGAAAAGCGTTGGTCAAGTTAGATGTGGAAAGCACAAAATACCTTAAACTTAACAAGTTCATCAGGTATAATGTGTTATTACCTTGTTTCCTTTGGAAAAAGTTTCCAACCAACTGATTTCCTTTTATCACACTTGTAATTTAATTTAGAAGTTGTTATTAAATTTTTAAAAAGGGTCATCATATGACTTGACCTGAAATTATCTTAATCTTAACTTGAACAGTCAAAACGTTCATGCTGATATTTTTGGAAACATTAAGTACAACCGAACTGTCTATGAATTTTATAGTAGTCAGAACATAACATATTTATCTAATTTAATCATAGTAACAGTAACAAGCTTTTATGTTGTAATTTATTTATGGTAATGTTTATCTCTAAACGTAAGTCTCTATTGAGTCTCATTCATTTTTAATTTTTTGACAGTTGATAATTTAAATCTATTAATTTCAAATAGTTTATAATTGT